TCCCATTTTATTAAACAAAAACACTATCTCCAACCTAAGGAACCAACAAACACAGAAAACAAACAGCAAAGCAGAAAGCAAGGAACAAAAGACACCTAAGACAACCAAACAACAATCAGTAAAATGCTAGGAATAAATCAACACTTGTCAATAACAACTCTTAATGTAATAGGCGCTTACTTCCCCAAAATAAGACACAGACTGGCTGACTGGATTAAAAAGGAGGACCCAACTATATGCTGCCTTCAAGAGACCCACCTCACCCATAAAGACTCACATAGACTAAGAGTGAAAGGATGGAAAAAGATTTTCCATGCAAACAGAAAAGAAAAACGAGCTGGAGTAGCTATTATATCTGACCAAGTAGACTTTAAACTAAAAACCATAAAAAGAGACAATGAGGAGACACTACGTAATGATAAAGGACTGATCCATCAAGAAGACATAACAATCATAAATATGTACGCACCCAATGTTGGAGCAGTCAGATTTATAAAACAAACTCTATTAGACCTAAAGAAGGAAATAGACACTAATACCATAATAGCAGGGGACCTGAACACCCCACTGTCAATATTGGACAGATCATCTAGGCAAAGAATCAGCAGAGAAACACAAGATCTAAGCAATACTCTAGACCAATTGGACTTGGCAGATATCTACAGAACATTCCATCCAAGAATACTCTGCCTGGGCCTGTCATTTTGCTACATCTGCCCATTTTCAATGGGTGAAATGACAGAAAGTTTACAAGCTAAGTTTGCCCTATACTGTTAATTCCTACCATTTCCAAAAACAAACACAAGATCACTTTCTCAGACTCAAATGGAAGCTCTATGTCCAATATTCAGTTAGGGACAAAACCCAAATGCTGAAAATAACCTAAAGTAAAAGTTCTGTGAAATTCCTGGAAGAAACCAGACCATCTCAGTTCAGGCATGTTTCCATAAGGCTGACAGGCTCATTACTCTCTCATAAAGTACCTACCAAAAATAATTCTTGAATAACGGTCATGGGTACAATTTATGATTGCTCTGTTACTTACCAGATAAATGATTCTTAACCCTGTTGGCCCATCAAAATCACCATGGGAGCTTTTTATAAAATATAGACACCCAAGCAGAACTCCAAACCCACTAAATCACAATCTCTGGTAGGTGACACAAAGCAAGCCTCAGACCTCTGCCATAGATGCTTAAAGATGAACACTTCCCCCTTTCCTATAGAGGAAGGAGCTTGCCCTATCCACAACAGAGAAAGCTCAGGCTGACTGGTTTAGAGCGTGGTGCTGACAATACCAAGGTCCAGAGTTTGATCCCAGTACTGTACAGCTGACAAAAAACAAACAAAAAAAGAAGTCTAAAGAAGTACACATTAATGGGTGGGGCATAAGATTAGGAAAAGGACCTGCACTAACACCAATTGCTGGGGGTGGGCCTTTAAGGAGGGGGGACAGAGGATAGTTTGAGATAAACAGAAAAGTCCATTTTAACTTTATAAACCACTACACTATTTGAATTGTTATATATTAGTAAAACAACAATAAAATTATTTCAAAAAAGAGAAAGGGGTCAAGACAAAATACAGCTCAGCTATAAAGGGAGTCAATGAACATGTTTTCAGAACAGTAGTTCTACATTCACCTGGCAGGTGACATAAGCACTGATTCTAACCCCTCTCCTGCTACAGTTCCCCAATAATTCCTTTTTTTCTTATCTTTTCAAGTCGTATACTACATTTTAAGGAATTTTAAAACTTTTTATTAACCAAATAGTTCATGAATGCTATGTAAAATGTTATCTCTGTTATATCCTAGAATATTCAAATATTCTAAGAGAGAATCTTAGTTCTCTCTCTTCCTGCCCCAAGGTAACGAAAACCATCCTGATATATTTGGGGTATATTCTACCAGACCCTTCTTTACCCTCTTATGTGTATATACATATTTAACCATACAGTTCTGGTACGTGTATGTACATGTACATGCATGGGATGCCTGAGGATACTTATGTAAAATTTATGGTATTGTAATGTATTGTTCTACTACTTGCTATTTTGCTCATGTGAAATCTTAGAGTTCTAGTCAGAGATTATTACAAATTGATCTGCTTCATTCTTTTTTTTCTTTCTTTTTCTTTTCTTTTTTTTTTTGTAGCTGGCAAGTACAGGGATCTGAACCCTTGACCTTGGTGTTATGAGCATACCTCATTCTTTTTAACACTCCTCAGCACAGCATAAAAATGCCACAAATTGAATAGATATTTCTCCAAAGAAGATATACAAATGGCCAAGCAACACATGAAAAGATGTTCAACATCTTAAGTCATTAGGTAACTGCAAATCAAAACCACAATGAGATACCACTTCACACCCAACTAGGAAGGCTGTAATTTAAAAAATTGAAAATAAAAAGTGTTGGCAAGAACATAGAGAAATTGGAACATACATTGCTTATGGAAATTTAAAATGATATAATAGCCGTTGTGGAAAACAGTTTGGCAGTTCTTCAAACAGTTAAATAGCATTACCATATGACCCAGCAGTTCCACCCAAGAGAACTGAAAACTTATGTTCATATAGAAACTTGTACACGGATGTTTGTAACAGCATTATTCATAACAGCCAAAAGATGGAAACAACTCAAATGTCCATCAACTAATGAATGGATAAACAAAATGTGGTATATCCATAAAATAGAGTATTATTCTGCAATGAAAAGGAATGAAGTACTGATACATGCTGTAATATGGATGAATGTTGAAAATGTGCTATGTGAGGGGCTGGCTAGTTAGCTTAGTTAGAGTGCAGTGTTGTAACACTGAGGTCAAGGGTTTGGATCACCTTTCAGCCAGCCACACACAAAAAATAAAATAAATGCTAAGTGAAAGAAGCCAGACAAAAGACCACAAATTTTACTATTCCCTTTATATGAAATGTCCAGAAGAGGCAAATCTTTTGTTTGTTTTGGGCAGCTGGCCAGTATAGGGATCTAAACCCTTCGCCTTGGTGTTATTAACATCGTGTTCTAACCAAGTGAGCTGACTGCTCAACCACATAGGGCTATGGAGAAGTTTGGGAATAATAGC